ACACCAACTCGACTTGATTTGAACTCGACTCGGCTTATCTGACTCGTGAGTTAACTCGACTCGTCCGGAACTCTAGTATTTGGGGTCAGGAAATTCATGGATTTCTTCGTATCATTTCTTGAGAAAAACTTAATTTTGGAATGAGTTAGTCTGGAAGTCTTCAAGAAAACTTATTGAATCAGAGTTGATCAGATACTATATGGATGCTGAGTTTAATTGTTATCGCTCTAGACTCTTCAGAGTCACTATAATCGTCGTTGGGAGAGTTGTAGGACGCATCCTCTAAAAATCAATTCTATGGTTCAATATTTAGTAACACTTGAAAAAAAGCGTTATACTCTCAATACCTTGTATCTGGTTCTTGTTAGTTGAGTCCTTAGAGTTATATTTTCCCATTTTACGTTATAAAGATGACTTGTTCAATAATATAAAAAAGTATATCAATAATATACAATATGTTTAAAGAAATACAATATAAAATGTTACATCAATGTGGCTGATCAAGTGATCACACTGATTGGCTGTGAAAAAAGGCAAAGGGAATAATCTATGATAAAATGGGTTAGTACGTACAAAAATCATACTGCGAAATTTTTTATCAAAATTGGAGATTTTTTATTCATGTAAATCATTATCTTATCTATTTATGGTATAATTTTTATGGCTAGTAACGCGATCTCACAGATCAATTTTTTGTATTGTTTCAGATATTTACTTCAAAGTACTAAAGCTGTAATAAAAGATTCACTCGTGTTAGAGAAAGTTAAACGTTAAGACACAGACGAACTTATCCGTTTTTTAAATGAGCAGAATTTAATGTTTATGAATGAGGATTTTGAAATATTCAAAATGAGAGAATTACAGGTCGTGACTTTCTCAGTTTAACTGAAGAAAAGCTTCGCTGTATTGGATTTGCACTGAGGCCAGCATTAACGATTACGAGCTTGATTAAAGAACTCAAAGAACGAGAAAATACTAAAATGCCTGTAGCTCTGGTACTTGACAATCGTCAATCAAAAACATCAATATACGTAAACAGCTTGATATTATTAGAGAAAAATTCTGTGAAATTTTTGAAAAATCCCGCTGTCTTACGTAGGCGCAGGATTAGTAAAAGAAAAAGAAGTTATCGTTGCCATAGTGGATCTCCTTGAAAGAACACCTACCAATTTGCCGGCTGAATTTGAAGGTTTTCCTGTGATAGTTACCTACAGTGTTATCAAACCACACCATAGTTCATATTATGAAGATCTTAAACCTGGTGGAAATCCATCAAATGCATTTACACTTGGAGCGTTTTGAAACTACTTCATATTAATTACAAAGCACAGTGCTGGAGAAGAAAGTGACAGAATAGTCCAACCAGGCAGGTTAGAAAAGATATCTGTTTAATGTTTTAGTTTATTAACCTGAATTGGCTGACAATTTTTAAATATATATGAATAGTAATAATCTCTAAAAACCTTTATAATCCCCTAATATGTATTTCATTTAATAAAAGAATGAATAGCTATTTGCGTTAATTTTTAATTGTGATGTTTGTGCAGATTCATTAATCGCTTATTGTAACGCGTCAGATATACTTGTAATTATATTGTTAAATCAGAAAATCCTAAGCAAAGGCTCATTTATCTGACGATGATTTTTTTCTGCGATCATGTATATGTTAATTGGACTTGCCTTCAGCCTCCGAAGTTTTTGATTTAGCATTCCGGAAAAAGTTCACCTATCAACCAATCGATAAGTAGCCAAATTTGCCTCATCATAATTCCTGCATCATAGCCGTAGCAAATATATTTTTTCTCATATGGTAGTGCTGTGAGATTGTATCATAACAGATCTTGCTAATCCGACGATCGAATATGCGTTTATCATGATTAATGCTAATGATTATTTTTTATTATAGGCGAAGCAGGAATATCAATTGACCGGATTTCTATGATATCACAATTTGCTGATCTTTTTATTGATCTTTTGCCGATCTTTTGCCGATCATTATTTCATTTTATCACATAAGAAATGCCGTAAATCAATTTAATTAGCTCTGATTGTAAAATTATACATAATAATATATGCTAATTTTTTATAAGTTGCTTTATATAATTATAAACAAATAAAATACTGAATTTGATCGAAAAATAATTATTATTGAATAAGTTTTACTAGAAGCATCATTTTGCAATTACATAAAAAAAAAGTGTCAAAATCAATGCTAATTAGCTCCGATTGAAAAATCCTACATAATAATATAAGTTGATTTTTTACTTATAACTTTATATTAATATAAAGAAATATAATATCAAATTTTATCAAAATCTAATTATTATTTAATAAGTTTTACTAGAAGCAACATTTTGTAATTACATAAAAAAAAATGTAAAATCAATATATATTTTATGTTAATTGTCTCTGATTGAAATATTTTACATATAACATATACTAAAATTATACATATAACTTCATAATATTTATCATAATAAAAGTATTAATTTATAAAATAGATTTACAATTTAAAAATGATTAAGATTTAAAATTTATTAAATCTAATTTAAATTTTATCATAATTTAGCCATTTTTGATACATTATATTGTATTGATTTTCTATATTATATTCTGTTTTTTCTAATATACTTTCTATACTTTCATTATCATTATCATTATTTTCATCTAAATCATTATTTTTATCTTCAAATAAAGGAATTTCATTTTCTTTTAAAGGTGTAAATAATCTCTTATTTAAACTTTTAATATTTCTTTCTATTTTAAATAAAATGTAATTAAAACAATAAGAATACTTATTATTAAATAGAGTATTTAAACATTCTTTATAAAAATTATGTTCACAAATTAAGACAATTCTATTAGATAATTCTATATAATTTGGTAATAAGCAACTATCTACATCACAAAATTTATTATCAGCAGGCTTTTTTTGTGTATTCCAAGCTAAAGGAAACACTTTTACATTTACTTCTAAATCAAAACTTAAAAGATAAAATTTTGGATATTTATCATTATTAATTTACTTTGTATTTTCTAAATTTTGATAAACTTTATTAAAAATTGATAATAGAAATAATGAAACTTTTTTCTCTAAAAATTTTAATTTATTAATTTAAGATTTAGTTGAATTTCTTAAATTAATAAATAAATCTTCAAAGGAAGAGTTATTATTTCTTTTAACATCAATAATTTTTACTTTTTGAATAATTTGTGATTCTGAATTAGATTCTGCTATTTGATATCTTAAAGAACTATAAAAATTTTTAACAAAATAATCATTAAAAATTGGCAAATTATTTTTTAAAATATCAATTATTGAATGTTTTTTTGATATCCAATAAAACATATTACTTAAAAACATAAGTGGTGTTTTATTATAATTATGTCTTCTTAATCTTTTAAATAATATCCAAATTTTTATAACACTTTCTAAATATCCTTCAAAATATTCACTTCTAAAAAGTATTGTATATATATCTAAAGTAAGTGAAATAGAATTATCTAATAAATCAATTAACATTAGATATTCTGCATCCTTAATATTTTTAAATCTTTTTATAATAATATTACAAATATTTTTCTATCTATAATAAGTTAAATGTAATATAAGATTAATTACTGTTTATTTTAACCTTTAAGATAAAATTTTCTTATTTTTAAATAAATTATGATATAACATTTTAAAAAAAAAATAATATTTAAAATAAGATTTTTCTGCTATTTAAAGAAATATGAAGCGGACTAATCATAGGAATTAAATTTAATACTTTTTCTGGAATTCCAAAAGTAATTCCTTTTTTAATTCTTAATTTTATAGCCTTCCTTATATTTACTTATCCAGACCAATCAGTAATTACGGAATAATAAATTTATTTAAATAATTATTTCTCTAATATTTTCTATTCTTTCAAATACTTTAAATACAAAATCTATAATCTTTAATACTATGTAATAAATGTAAAATAAAATCAATTAATTTATTATTAAACATTAATTTTAATTCATGATAATTTTAAATTCTACTATCATAATCATAAATATTAAATTGTTCTACTTTATTTTCAAATGTTTCTTCAATTAAATATTATTTTCATAATTCTTTTCTTTCAAAATAACTTTTACTTAATTGATTTATAAAATTATTATTAATGTTATTAATAATTAATTTAGAATAAATTTCTTTAAAATTATGTACTGAAATATCATCTAAAGAATATAATATTATTCTTGATATTTTAGAATTTGTATTTAATAATATTATTGTATAATGATAAATATTATATATTTGAATTAATGTTAGTTAATTATACTTATGAATATTATAATAATCATCTATATTAAGAATAAACATATTTTCAATATTTGTAAATAATAATTATCAACTATTTGTTAATATTCATTTGAAGTAATATTTTTTTATTGATTTACAGTTTTTCTTGTTACTGAAATTCCAATATTTGCTAATATATCTATAGAAGAAGAAAAGGTTTCAGAAGTTTGTAAATATGATTCAATATCTACTTTAATACTATTAATATATTTATTATTAATACTAGTTAAAAAAATAACATAAATAAACTAATTTTCTTTTATTATTTTCATTTGTTTTATCATTTTTAGTATTAGGATTAGTTTTAAAATATAATTCATTAAAAAATCTAATTAAATCTTTATCTGCATTTTCTAAAATAGTTATAAAAGCTATTAAATCATAAATAGGTTTTAAATTTAATTTAAATTGATTATTATATAGAATATTTGACATTTTAATTATTTTACTACTTAAATTAATTTTATTTAAAGTTATTAATTGTGTTATAATTTCTTGATAATCTGATTCTAATTGCTTTAATTCTTCTCTAATATATAAAATATCTTTTCTAAATAAGTAACTATAATTTCCTATTTTTAATATATTATTATTATTATTTCTAGTAATTGGTATTTTATATTTTTTAGCTTCTAAATATTCTAAATCTTTATCAGTTCTTTTTCTATATATATTACAAATCATTGCTAATTTATTTAATTCTAATAATTTAATTAATTTTTTTAAAATTTTGGTAAGATTTTTATTTATATAATTCTTTGCTTTATTTGATTTTGTTTCACTTAAATAAATTTCATATTTTGGATGTTGACAAGTATTTTTATATTTATTATTATCTATTAATTCATTTTGTAAATTATCTTAATTATTTTTTTTAATTATTGGTGCTTGATATTTTTTATATTGTAAATATTCTAAATCATTATCAGTTTTTTTTTTATAAATATTACAAATCATTGCATTTTTATTTAATTCTAATACTTCAATTAATCTTTTTGGAATTTTAAATAAATTTGTTGATTTTGCTTCATAAATATCATGTTTAGGATTTTAATAACTTTTATTATTTAATATTTTATTTAATATTAATTAATTATAATGAATTTGACAAAGTAATATATTAATAGTTACAATATTTTTATTTATTTCTGAAATATCTATTTTATTAAAATTTTTTTAATTCTTTCTTTACATATATTATTTATGTAAAAATTACAATTTTTGATATCTATTGATGATATTTTTTTAATATTTGAAATAAAGTTTAAAAAGTTAAAAATTAAATTTTGATAAAAGTACAAAATAATTTGAACAAAGTTTTTTAATATATTAACTTTTATTTAAAATTTAAATTAAATTAATATATATATATATAATTTTATTGTAATACATTATATTATATTCTATATAACCTAATATAATCGACCCCCTTTATAGTTACAGACTTTAGAACTGCTTAATATTATGATTATAAAGAAGTATGCTTATTAGTAAAAGTTTTGCCATATAATTACACATATATAACCCTTTAGTATTTATGTGATTATATGAGAATAATTATTATAAAATAATAAATTTTATTAGAGTTATGTTAAGAAATAAATATTTAAATATATTAAATATATATTTAAATTTGAATTAACAAAAAATTATATAAAATACCAGTTTATTATTAACAAAAATTATATTATATATACTATTAGAAGGTAATTACTAATTACATTAGTCAAACAATATCTATCTCTCAAAGAACATATCAAGTATGCTTTATTTTTTTGAATTAAACTCTTGAACTTTAGATATTTTTAGATACTTTTAAAAAATACATAAATCATTAACATTGAATTCAGAATCAGTTTGTTATTAAAAATAAGTAACAAATGTTTCCAACTTACTAATCGCTTCTTTTATTGATATTGAAGATATTTCTTTGTCAGAGTTATTATCATCTTCTTCACTTCTTTTTACCTTAAGTTGTATAAGGTTAATAATTTATTTTTCAATAAGATGTTCTTCAGCTAAAATTTTATGATCAAATTTTTGAAAATATTTTTGCATATTATCAGTCTCTAACAAATTATTAAGAAGATCTTTAATTTTGTCAATATTAGAATTTAATTCAAAATCTTGCAAATTAAAATCTTTATCATTATTATTTACATAAAATAAAAGTATACCAGTCTTAATCCAACAGTTTTGAATTGTTTTTTGAGTAATATTATTCTATCCTTTAGAAATAAATTTAATAGCTTCTTTAAGATTCAACTTATTTCTAAATAAATTTGATAATTGATATTAGTAAATTTATTATAATATATAAAATAGTAAAACAATTATAACTTATTTCACATAATTTATTCCAACATTAAATTAATGAATTAAATATTTACAATACTTTTTTTTATATTTAGCTTTAAAGCTATGAATAATTTCTACGTCTATTAGTTGAAGATGAGCGGTAGTATTTAAAGGTAAATAAATAAGCTCAATATTAGTAAGTTTAATATTAGGTTTTTTTTATTAATTGTTTTTTATTTTTTTTTATTTTGAGTTAAATGAGATGATTTTATAACTACTTTTTTCTCCTCATCTTTTTTATTATCTTCATTTAAATTAGGATTAATTGTTCTTTTAAAGATCTTTAGGTTAAAGTGAGAATTTGCATTATCAATAAAAAGCAATATTTTTCTATTCATTATGTAAAAATGATTATCAAGATAATTAAGCCAATCAATGAATATATCTGATTTCATCTATGCTTTTAAGTTAGCACAGTAGATTACAGGTAGAACCAATTTATTGGATTTTTAAAATATTGTGAATTAAGTGATTTTTCAATTACAAAAGGATGAAACTTATCAGATTCTATAGTATTAGTATAAAAAAGAATTAGAAACATGACTTTTATTCTATAAAATTTTAAAAAATTAATAAAAATTAATAAAAAATTTTATTTCATATAAATTATTACTAAATTTCTTATATAAAACTGTTATAATAATTTTACCTTTTTACAGGTTGCAATTGTGTCTGATTAAGTATTTGATCAGATTCCATTTGAAAAAAAAGTCTAGTTTTATCAGCATTATATATATCTTTTTTATTATATGCGGTTAAAATATTATGTAATTTTAATCATTCTTCTGAAAGAATAGTAAGTGATGCACTATTAGCTTCTTCCAAAACTTAACGTTTTGAAGACCATTGTGTTTTTTAAATCTATACACCTAGCTATTAGTAAATTTTAATTGCTCTTCACTAATATTCAACATCTGTACTAGTTCAAGCTCTTTTTATTATAATATTGTGTCAGTTAAAAGAAGTCCAGCAGCAATTGCTTATGATATTTAGATTTGCAAAGCTTTATCAAATTCTGAAAACTAAACAGAATGATAATAAAATATATGAGAAATTTTTAAATTTGAAAGAACTATTAGCTATTTTTCACAACTTTGTCATATCTTTATAATAGTTATTTTATTAATATTTAATTCATATATTATATTGAAGAACAAAGCAACATTAGCATGTTTTATATTAGTATTTTCTAATATATACTTATATATTTTCTTTTTATATTAATATTAATAGCAGTTTATTCTCTTTTTATTTTTATAAGTGTGTAAGTGATATTATAGTTTATATTACTATAAGACAAGTTTCATAAAGAAAAAGAAAGTATAAGATTTAATTAAAAAATTTTTTTGTAAAAAGAAAGATTTAAAGCATGATATTTTTCTAAAAAAGAAAAAATTCAAAGTAAGAGATTTCTTTAAAAAGAAAAGATTTAAAGTATGAATTTTTGTAAAAAAAGAAAAAATTTAAATGCAGATTTTATAAAAAAAAGGAAAGGTTTAAAATGCTAATTTTGCAAAAAAAAAAATAAAGTTTAAAAAGGTTTTTAAGCATCTTCTTTAATATGATTGGCTAGTAATTGAGGTGATGTTTAATCATTATAATCAATTTAAATATAATTAACCGTTATGTCTTTAAAAAATTATAACAAAAAAAAAATAAATTATTCAATAAATAAAAGAAACATCTCTAGCAATTCTTTGCAGATTTCAAAATTTTTTATATATAATTTCAATAATAGTATGAAAAGTAGTAAGAATAATATAAAAGTGCTGCCAAAAAAAATTATAACCTCTTTCATCTAGTAAAAATAGAAAAACATTTATCTAAAACCCTTTAATTTTAGGTCTTGGCTGATGTTAGGCTTTTATGTTATTTGTATTTGGTAAAAAGAAGATAAATGAAATGAATAAAAGTCAGAAGTTGATAAATATTGGTTATTCTTATTTGAATTTTACAATATTTTTTATTTTTTATAATAGCTTTTAGAATTAAAAGTAATATGATAAGGTATTAGCATTGCTTGGTAATGATTTTGAAAGATTTATAGTGTAAAAAGAATGCTTGAATAATTTCTTTTTATATTCTACTAATAATAAATTTTAACCAATTAGAGTAACTCTATGAAAAAAAATACGCCTTCATATTTTGTTAATTGGAATAGATCTGCAGATTAATTAAATTTCATTTCTAATCCATTGATTTAGATACTTGAGAACTTCTAATTATTGCATGATTGATTAAAATGATGTATAGTTTACTTGACTAGTATGATTATATATAGAAGGAATCTTACTTATACTAATTAATAATATTGTTCTAACAATTTGTATAATAGTGACTATACTTGATATTGTGACTAAAAAAAGGTAATTTATTATTTAAAAAATTGAGACCGAATGCCATGTAATTAAAGAAAAGAAAATGACTATATATAGGGTGACTATAGAAAAGATTGACTGTAGATTCAAAAAGTTTAAAAAAATTTCTAATGTAATTAGTATTATTAATAGTAATTATTTATTAATTAAAGTATTTCATTTATTTTCTGTGATTATTTTAATAAAAATAATTTTTATTCTATTCTTTTACAAATAGTAATTGATCATAAAAAAAAATTTTTTAAATTATGTGTTAGTCGATCAAATTTTACAAGAACTTTAAAAATCTCTTATATAACTTAGATTAGAGTTTATATAGAGTTTTATGTAAATTTTGATGAAAATTACATATTACAAAAAGGTTTAAAATTTATTATTCTAAATATTTAAGTATTAAATTAATTAATAATTAGATTTAAATAATCATAGTATTATTAGAATTATCTTAATAAAAAAAATCTAATAATAATAAAATCATATTTTTAACATAAATATTAATAAAATTATTGTAAAAAATGTATTTAATTCTATGTTATTTATAAATTAAATAAAAAATATTCAGGATTCTATTAGAAGAATAATATTATAATATAGAAATAGATTTAAATAATAAAACAAATGTTAATAAATCTTAAAAAAAATGCTATTAATTTAGTAAACTAAATAATAATATATTAGACTATTGTTTCAATTTAAGTATTTTTAATTTTTTTTTTTCTTTTTAATAGATATTATTATCTAGTTTCTTGCTTTATCAGCTATTTTTAAATAGTATTTTTCAAGTTAAATCTATTATTTTTATACTTTTTTTATTTTAATTATTTAGATTAATTTTTATTTTTTTATATTTATGTTTGTTATATAGTTTCTATTAATTTTAGTAAGTTTATATAAATATTATTTTTCTTTATTTATTTTAAAATATTTTTAATTATTATCAGATTCTTTTGATTTTTTTTTAATAAACTTTAAAAGAATTAATATAAGACTTTAAATTCAATATGAATTTATTCTTATCTAAAATTGCTTCATATCTTTTTTTTTGAATTAAATAATAATTAGAAAACTACTACTTTTTTAATATTACAAATTATATTTTAAATAAAAATAAAAAAAATTAGTAATAATAAAAAATATTATATATTATATTTTCTTATTTTATAAAATTAAATCTTATAATTATTTATTAAATTCTTTTATTTATTAGTAATTAAATATTACTATAAGTCTATTTAAAGTTATATAATCTATCTTTAATATAGTGAAATAGTCATTTTGCACTTCAACTTCATTATAACAAATATATGAAAAATTTGAAGGATTTTATTGGTTATTTTATTATAGAGAGGGAAAATTGATATATTAATTAGTTAAGCATTATATGGTTCATTATATCAAAATTTACTATATTAAAGGATAGACTATAAGATTTAACATTTAACTATAATTGAATAACTTTTGAATTAGAAATAGTTTTATATATATACTTTAGTTTTTCAAGTTTTTTTTATTTTCAAGAAAAAAATAATAATGTCTTAATAGCATCTTCAGTTTATTTGATTTTTAAATTTTTGTTAGATTTAATTATTTTATTATTTATTTTATTTTTATTAATTTTTTCTAATAAGAAAAAAATATTTTAAAGAAAAATAATAAAAATAAAAGTTCTAAAAGTTTATATTTAAAAAAAGTAAAAAAAGATTTTTATAAGTTTATGTTTTACATTTAAAATATTTAAATATGTATATATTTTAAAAAGAAATGTATGTTTGAAAAAAAGTAAAAAATTTAAGAAATGTTAATGTTAAATTTTATTTTAATTTTACTTAATTAATAAAATTAAATTTTATATAAAATTTCAATTATAATTAGCTTAAAATTCAAATTTAAATTCAATCATAATCACATTCTTTGTAAAATAAGATTGATCTCTAATCTCAATTTTAATCTTAATCATAATTATTATAAAAATCTCCATTATTTTCTAATTTTGGTAGTCTATTATATAATAAAAAGTAGATCTTATTATATTATTTATTATTGATATTATTTAATTTATTTAACTTTATATTATTTATATTATTTATATTATTTTCTTTATTTTTATTATTTTATTTAATTATATATTTTTATATAAATAGGAGTAGTTTATAAATATAAATAAAAGAAATAACAAGAGAACTTATCTTATAATAAATTTTTTAATAAATAAACTGTTTAATATAGATGAATTAATAGAAGCAATACTATTCTTTTATTTGTTAATTAATTAATTGTATATATTTTTTTTACTTTAACTATTTACCTTTATTTTTTTATTTTTTTTTTATCTTTATTATACTCTATACATAAAGAAAAACTTTGATTATTATAATATTGCAGGTAAATATCAACAATTTAAAGAATTGATGTAACACTATTAATAATATTAAGATGTTTAAAAAATAATTATTACTTAATTAATAATCTGATAAAATATAGTGACACCTCTATAAGTGCACTCCCCTTGGGACCATAATAAAAAATAGCAGAATGTGTATTTAGAGAGATGTGTATTTATAAAGAATAAAATATTAAGAGCTCTTATGAGTTGAAACCAAAGCCTATTATGCATTTAGAGAGAATTTACATAGAATGTGCATTTATAGAGAATGTACTTATGAAGGTTTCACTGTATTATAAAATAATATTAGTTATTATTTTTTAATTATTTACTTCATAATTATATATATTATTCCTTCTTTATTTCTTTTAGTATTTAATTTATTATATATATTATAATAAATTAAAAGAATTTATATAAGAAAATAAAAATTTTTAATTAATTATATAAATTAAATAAGATTTTTCTTATATACACAAATGTGTAAAAAGTATAAAAGATAAAAAATAGTAATAAGATTTCAAATTTATTAATCACTTTTATTTTTTTAATTTAGATTCTTATTTCAATTTTCCGAAAAAGGAAATATAATTTTAGTAACTCTTTAGATGCAAATGTATTAAGCCGCTGACAAATGATCAGTAATTTTTGTTGAACAAATATATCTGCCCACTACCACCTGAATTATTACAATGCAAAAAAAAAAATTTCTTTCTAATTATAGAGAGGGATAAATAAAAATGTGAACTAATATCTGTGTAACGATTCATTCAAAAAATGATAAATTATTGCATGTGAAAAAACCATAAAAACAAATCTCTCTTGACGGTTTTTATAGATTTAACTCATTCTTAACGGGAAAGTAATTTTACATAAGTCCAGGTTTATCGTAACAATTATTTAATAAGACAATGAGTCGCGCACCTTCCACGTCATTGGAGAACGCTCCTTTGCTTACACCTAATGATCTTGACGAAGAAGAAACTCTTGATGGAGGTAACGGTGTAGTCGAACGCGGTCCTCGTACTCGCGAAGCTCCGCGTGACCATACAAACTTCTTTCCGTTACGTCATGGAAAATTTTCTCACCTCGAAACCTTATTGGCTTTCATGTGTGTTTTGTTATTAATACTTATGAGCGTTTTCGCTGGCTTATATGCCAGAGGAAGGACCAATAAACACCCACAACCAGAAATACCGCCGCCTATTATACCTCCACCAAATGATACCATAAAGGTGAACGCGTTATCGAAACAATATCAAATATAGACAAGTGTAAAATATGTCTAACATAGTATAACTTACGCGTTTACAGGAACCTTGTCTTACTCCAGATTGTGTAATTATAGCGGCTCAGATTATTAGTGATATGGATCCGACTGCCGATCCTTGTGATGATTTCTTTCAATATAGTTGTAAGTTAGAATTATCTTATGCTTATCGAATATTTAAGTTATTCACAGTTTAGCCTAAATCTATCTTTTTAAGGTGGCGGTTGGGTACAAAATAATTTGATACCCGAGGATAAAGGCCAGTATAGTTACTTTGATAGTTTATATGAAGACAATCAGGTAAATAATTATTTTATTTTTATTTTTTTTTTTTTTTATTACTACTTATCAAAATGGAAAAAAATTTTTTTTTTTAAACTACAGAAATTATTGAAAGAAATTCTTGAAAATAATTTTGAATCAACTCATAAATTTGAGCCGAATCTTCCACCACCTTCAGAAGTAATAGACAAACAAAATTTTTATAAACTTCAAAATCTCTATCAGTCTTGTATGAACGAATCTTTAATTAATGATTTTGGTGGAGAGCCGTTGTTGCCAATCATAGATCGTATTATTGACGATTTTCCTGTAGACTCTAAATATTCTTTATTGAGCAATTTTGGACATTTGGATGAAATAGAAAGTCAAGGAGCTCATTCTCACGATCCTCTTAATTTAACAAATACATTGTCACGTCTTTCTATCTTTGGAATAAAACCGTTGTTTGAATTTTTCGTAGAAGCAGATGCAAAAGATCCGAAAAATAATGTTTTATACTTATCTCAGTCTGGCCTTGGTTTACCTTCAAAGGAATATTACGAGGAGGAAGAGATATTGTTATCATATAAAGAAGCTATGATCGAATTATTAAATTTGGCCCTAAATTATAGCAGTAATGTAGCTCACCATTTCAATCATAATTTCACTGAATCAGATGACTTAGTGAAAGACATATTAGAATATAGTGCAGAAAGGTTCTTATATAAAGAATGGGAAAAAAATGCTAAGAAAATTATAGATTTTGAAATAGAATTGGCTAAAATCTCTTTATCCGCGTAAGTCGATCGATCATCATTAACTTATTTATTAATTTATTACTATATTAATTTTTCTTTTTTTTTTTCTTTTGGAATTTAGCGAAGAATTTTCTGATCCTGAAGCTACTTATAATAATCAAACTGTAGTTTCTCTTGAAAACCTTAGTCCTTCTTTCATTTGGACTCGTTATATAAGTGCATTATTACCTCCTACATCTGTTTTTCCGGCTAAAATCATTTTAACTTCTAACAAATATTTTAAAGATCTTTCAAACCTTGTCGAGAAAACTCCAACTCCAACTTTACAACTTTATTTCATTTGGCAAGCAATTTATACTTATGCTGATTCTTTAAGTGAAAATTTTAGAGTGCCACTAAGAAAATTGAGGGCAAAACTCAGAGGAACTGATGAATCAATTAAACCTAAAAGATGGGAAGAATGTCTTAAATCTGTCGATAATACTTTAGGTCTTATGGCTGGCAGATATTTTGTGTTGAGAGCATTTGGAGGTATGATTTATAAACTTATTATATTATATCTTTTCAGTAGTTTCACCGCGCTTTTTTGGTGAGTTCTCTCGCGAACAAAACGAACAATTGTCCTGGATAGATGCTTATGCATTTCTTTGAAACTAAGCGACTCCAATAAAAAAATAATATTGAAATCCAATTGATGCAAATAGTTTTTTCATTTCTAAATTTTTTTTTTTTTTTGATTTAGGTAAAAGTAAAGAACTAGCCGATCAAATAATAATGTCTCTTAAAGATGCATTTATTAAACAATTACCACGACTTGATTGGCTTGACAAAGAAACGCGTGAAAAGGCAATTGAAAAGGTTAATCGTATTATTCAAAAAATTGGATTTCCCTCTAAATCCCCTGATACTATGTCACCACAGTCTCTTGCTGAATATTATGAAAAGATTAATATAGAGAAAGATAGATATTTCGGTAATATTTTAAGTGCTCATGTGTGGGCTTCAGAAAATAAATGGAAGAAAGTTGGTAAACCCGTGGATCTCGGTCAATGGTATATGACTCCTCAAACAGTTAACGCATACTATGTAAGTACGAAAGTTTTTAAAATGTGTTTATACATAATAGGAAAGTATTATAACCGTGAAATTTTTTAGAATCCTACGGCTAATGAAATCGTATTTCCAGCTGGTAATTATCCAATTTAAAAAGGTTTTGCTTATTATTTTTTAAAAGAAAATTAAAATTTAATTAATTTATGTTAATGGTAATTTATAGGAATACTTCAATCGCCATTTTTTAGTGCCAGAGCTCCAGAATATGTAAATTATGGAGCAATTGGTATGGTTGTCGGACATGAGCTCACGGTTTGTATTAGGATCTATGCTTGTATTCTCAGTAATATAAAAACTAACTTGAATTAATGAATATTAAAGCATGCATTTGATAATAATGGAAGACAATATGACGCGAATGGTAAATTAATCCAGGTACGAATAAAGATTTTTTATCTTTTTGAATTTACACGTAAAAAAAATTAATTCTAATTTGAATTTTCAACAGTGGTGGTCTAATACTACAATTGAAGCATTCGAGGAAAAGGCAAAATGTTTCGTGTATCAATACGGTAATTACACAATTGATGATCCAAAAGGCAATCCTGTGAACTTAAATGGTGTTTTAACTCTCGGTGAAAATCTTGCTGATAATGGGGGGTAATTATTATTATTATTATTATTTATTATTTTTTTTTTTAAAAAAAAAAAGATAGCATTATGCTAACTAAAAAAAAAAATTTTTTAAGTCTTAAAGAAGCTTTTCATGCATGGCTTACCCGATTTGAAAGTGATAAAAATGAAAAGCTTTATAATAATCAATTATTACCTGGATTACAAAATTTTACACGCGAACAACTATTTTATATATCATTTGGGCGTGTGTGGTGTTCAAAAATAAGACCAGAGACTGCTGTAGAAAGGGTAAGGGTTATTTTATAAAAGAATTAAAAGAAATCTTTTTAATTTTTTAACCGACATTAACTTTCTTTTCTATAACAAAAAGGTTCGAGTTGACCCTCATTCACCAGCAATCTGGAGAGTTAACGGTGTATTAACAAATTCCAATCATTTTTCTGAAACATTTAAGTGTAAAGTAGGATCAAAAATGAATCCAGTTGATAAGTGTTCTATTTGGTAAAAATAGAATATAAAATTTATCAAGGGGGATTATTTTTCTTTTATTTTTGATTGTATTTTATTTTAAGATATAAATTGTAAAATTTCTATACAAAAAAATTTATGTATTTTTGGGTGTTATAAAAATAAAATTTTAAAAAAATCTTTTCCTCGGAGTCTCGCCTTACCCGATTTATTCGCGAAAACGTGTCAAGTCACGTGAAAAGTATTGTAGAACGCGTTACGTCACAATGAATTTCCCATTACTGCTTTTTTATTATATTACAAATTAAAGGATTTGTGTAAAGAAATGATGAATTTGTTGAATTTTCTTTACGTTCTATTCTGTACAAAAAAAGATAAAAGTAAAACTAGGATAATAGCTAAACATTCAGCCGTTAAATGATATTCACAAAGAAAAAGCAACAAAAATAAGTAAATGAAAATTATGCTTTATACTCAATTTTTTTTTTACATTATTAAGTTTAAATGCTACATATAGTGTATATATATAAAATAATTGTCTACTCAAATTACTTTTTCAATACTAATTTTTTTTTTTTTTTTTTTTTTGATGCTAAATCACAAAAATTGTCATTATAATGTGTTTGATTAAATTTTTCGAAACCAAAAAATTAGCCTCGAAAATTTGCCTTATTAATTTACTCCTCACACTATATAGCTGACAAAGGTACGCAGCGGATATTAAGGGTATTATCCTTTATTGTTGTTGAGGAGCAAATCGACGAGCCATGTCAATGATGAAGGGACCAATATTGACATCATTCAGTTCTCCCTCAATCTCCTTTTTTTCTCCGATTTCATCGCTGACGATAATTTTGTCGAGATGCATGTTTTCAAGGTCCTCTTCATCGTCATCTTCCTCATTACCAGTCAATAAATTATTAAAATATGGGATAAAGAGGGCATGCATCTCTTCAATTTGTTCTCGAATCTTCCTATTTTCCTCGCTAATCTCTTTATATTCACTTTTTAATCCGTCAGTTTCATCCCTGAGCTTATCTACTTCTTCTTCAAGCACTGTATTCATCTGGAGGAATTTTTGTTCCGTTGATTTTAGTTCCTTCAACGTTGACTCTTGTTCTAAATAAAATCAAGAAATAAGTATCATCACTGTAATCACAACCTTTATCATAACATTAATCATTTATTATCACAATTGTCCATTACGTCACTTACCCTCGTGGTACCGATTGAAGTTTTCGGAGAAGATCTCGAACGGAACTTTGAGTTCTCGAAGGGGACGATCTAATAGAAAGAAGAATATGGTTCACGCGTTATTACGCGTCATTTACACAATAAATGCAAGTTGTAATACTTTACCTTGCGTAGTCAAAAGTGCACCACTTCTGACCCTATAGTCAAATGAACCGATTTCACAACCATTCAATTCGTCATTATCAATCCGATCTCCATTGGTTCTTAATTCATAAGGTCTATATAAATGTGAATGAGAGTGCTCTTGACGATGACGGATCGCACCGATTCTGCCATTCGTATTAACATTTTCATCTAAGCTGTTACCATTGATTAATGACGGACTGGTATTTCGTGGGCCATTACAAGCTACTGCGCTATTTCCATTCGTGTGATGTGGTGGAGACTTTTGATTGGCTGTTGTGCTACGGTCAACTTCATCTTCGTCTTAAATGAGTGAAAATTTGAGAAAAGATGAAAAAAAAAAAATACAAAATAAACAAAAGTTAAAAGGAAGAAAAAAGTATTTTTTTTTGATAATAATTTTATTAATTTACAGTTTCATTTAGATAACTTTATATATGCTCTATAAGTTAATGATATATTTGATTTTATTTTCATACCACTGCTGCTTTCTTCTTCCGAGCTATCACTAGTATCTTTTACGGCATCTTCTTGCAAAACAAACTCTTCGTCAGAAGAGTCGGACTGATCCGAGAAATTCTCATCTAACCAATCAACCATCTTCAAAGTATGTATGTTACTAGTAACGAAGTTAAATATACTAATTCAAGTGTTATAGATAACCAAACCTTAAAAAGTCGGTTTTTTTTGTTAAAATAAATATCTAGGAACCCTTGAGAGATTTTAAAAGCAAAAAGAAATTTTTATTTGTCTCGTTTTTGAGATCTAAAAACCGTAATTTCAAAAAGGTATATAGACTAAAAGTAGGTACTTGGTATAGAAATTTACTCGAAAACAATATTTTTAAATTTAAGTGGGTTATGAAAGTGTAAAAGAAGTGTTAAAAATTTGTCTGGTTTTTTAAAGTCGAAAAAAAAAAGCTAAAAATATCAGAAATAAAGCATATAAAAAATGCTGAGCGAAATTTAATCCTCATCGTAAAACATTTTATAGATCTGTCATGTTCATGTTTCACGTGCCCATTTTTCCTTGATAAGCATAGAGAATTTTTTTCTTTTTTTGTTGTTACTCGCGTTTAAATGTAAAAAAAAAATGTAATATCTCTTCTTTCATTCTTTTAGTCACGTGATTAAAATTTCGTTTCTGTATATTCTTTCGTTTCGAAAAGTTAAAATAATGAAAATGAAAATATCCGAATCGTTTTTTCACGGGAGTTTTGTTTTCGAATTGTTATTCGAATTAGTAAAAAAAATTTGAATATCATTTTTAACTTGATATACAGTATCAAAATTAAATTGTATAATAATTTCTCTTCTCTCATATTGCAATTTTTATGCTTTATAAAATTCTAAAATTCTAAAATTTTTTTTATGCATCTTTAATTCGGCTTTCAATATTGAATTAAAAAAATTTTTTTGAATTTATTTTTTTAAAAAAAATTATTTTTTTTTCTTTTTTTTTTTTTTTTTTTTTTTTTTTTTTTTTTTTTTTTATTTTTTTTGGGAAAATTTCCAAGTTTTTTTTTTTTATCATTTTTTTTTTCAACTAGTCCAAAAATT